CAATTTTTAATGCATCCGATATGTTATCGAGAAGGAACATTAAAAACACTTTTCAGTATGCTAGTTTATGGTGTATGTGTGTGCATTCGCTGGAAAATGATAATGCAATAATGTATTTGTCAAATATTTACCGATTGTTCGAAAAACGAACGGTCACAATCATATATTTCGCTATTATTACTAAGCACCATTAAACTAATGTACTTTACTACCCACTCGAGCTTCATTGACAACAGTGAAAGCGCAAAACCAACGCCGAGCAAAATAAAAATGGAAACGAACAGATTTGAATGATGATTATGAATGATAAAGCTCACAGTCACTACACGAGCGCTTAAATTATGATGCGTTCGTATGTGTGTAGTTTCATTTTTGGGATAGAGTGTGTGCATTTATATGAATTGATGGTACCGAAACGTGTGTGGCCTGTACTGGATTGGTACCCACTGACCACAAATTGTGTTTTGTGACTATTCCTCATCATATTTAATGGGGATTGTTATTTCTGTCTTTTTTTTCTACCCTTTTTTCCATGACATTTGCGAAGCACTTAGTTGCAGCGCAGAAAAAACATTCGCAAAAATGCTCGCCCATCGCATGTTCGTCCAACTCGAGTTCGGTTCGCTTCACATAACGTTTCGTTAAGTGTTTACTTTTAACCCTTTGACGACCAATGGGACACATATGTCCCATTTTGTTTTTCATCTGTAATAACTACATTTTTTAACCAATTTTGGTAAAATTGGTTTCGTTTGAAAGAGAATTAATGTAGCTATCAGAAAGTACCATAATATTGGATATTTATTGTAAACTCAATTGGATAGAACACTCTAAAGTCAAAAAATCTTAACTTTTTTTTCAACTTTCGCCAAATGCTATATAATTTTAACGGTGGAACTTTTAAAGCTGAAAATTTGGAATAATGTGGGAAATGTCCATTACTTTCCAAAAATCATCGACTTTATTTAGAAAAAACGTTTTTTCCACTTTTTATTGCGTTTGGCGCGATGGGCAGAGCGGTCAACGAGCGCTCGTTCGTTCGTTCGTATGCGAACATGTTCGTTTGTTCGTTCGTTCGTTCGTAGAATCTACGAACATGTTCGTTCGTTCGTTCGTTCGTTCGTAGGTAAAATTTCATTTTTTTTTTCAAACATAAATTTTTATGCCATACTTGTCAAAAAGAGATGAACACTGTCTTTGTCACTTTTTTTCTATCTCTCTCCGTATGCATCACTTTCTTCGTTTCACAACATTTGAAACCAGCATTATTATTGCTTATTTCTCTTCTATCTGTCGTATGCGAATATACGAAACAAATTTAACAGAAGAAAGTGATTTGTGGCGATGTTCTTTTCGTTGAGTGTTGTAATGTTTTTTTTACCTTTATGTTCAATGAAAAAATTATTGTGTATCGTCTACATCCTATAAAAATAGTATAGCATTCAATTATTTTCGAATGGATTTTGCTTTTCGCATTTGAATTGCTCCGTTAATATCGCCTTCTCTTATTTTGGGCTGTTTAGATAACATTCATTTTTTTAAATGGAAATTATAGGATCATTCCTATATTTTTTTAAGAAATAAGAAAAATTTATGTTTGAAAAAAAAAGAAATTTTACCTACGAACGAACGAACGAACAAACGAACATGTTCGTAGATTCTACGAACGAACGAACAAACGAACATGTTCGTAGATTCTACGAACGAACGAACGAACGAACATGTTCGCATACGAACGAACGAACGAGCGCTCGTTGACCGCTCTGGCGATGGGACATATGTGTCCCATTGGTCGGTAAAGGTAAATAAATACCCCGTATTTCCCTGTATTTTGGCTATTATTCGCAAATTTTCAAACACAAAAATTTACAAAAATATCATTAAATTCGTGATTAAATGGGCACAACAAAGCACAATTCAAACCATTTTCGGTTCAAAACAATTCTGAATATTTTAAAAACGAAAAAGATTTTAAACGTAGTTCTTATGGGAGACATATTTTCTTTCCATACAAAGATAGTTACCGTTACCGACCAATGGGACATATATGTTTCATATTTCTAGTTAAAAAAATTTATTTTTCATAACATTTTTAATATGGTTTTTGGGGTCGCTCAGCACGAATCTGCAATCAGAATTGCGAAATTCCCATCCGTTCAATCTTGGTCGTCAAAGGTTTAAGTAAATTATCGCAAACCAGACGTTGTGTTTAATATGTTTGGTGCAAACCCTCATGTCATGTCTTGTCATATCAAATTTCATTATTGGTGTTTATCGCAATCATAATGTTAATTACGTTATTTATGTCGCGGATACGTTTGCTCTCTTCCTCATAAACACATACTCTTGCCCTGTGCACATATTTAACTTTGATATATCCATTAAACAAATAAAAATTATCCAACTATTTTGCCTCACTTTTCCGACCGGCTTCAACGGCGAGACTAAACTATGCATCGGAAAAGTACTGAAATGTATGTCGGCAACACTTTATCCACATTGATTATAATATGGTTTGAAAAAACGCAAACCAAATCGACCACTGAGAATGAAAAGTATGGGAGAGGAAAATTACCATCATTTTCGTTGTTGATTCGGAATATTGCTCATCATTTCACATGAATTTGTGTGAATTTTCCGCTTTTCATTTACCTACCTCATGACAATGCTTTCTACACAATTATTCGATGCGTGGGCATGAGCGCGCTAGCTGTAAATTGAAGACAAGAACAAGTCATTTGAATGTTTTACGAAGTTTTTCATGAAATTGACCAAAGATTTCATGTAAAATACTTCAAAAACTGTTGCCACATAGTTTATTCTATCCCACGGAATGTTCGGTAATTTTGGTGCATATAAATTCTGTGACAGTTCACCTGAATAAATAAATAAATGGAATAAAATGAAAAGAACACATTTTTTCGGCTGTAGAACAAAAATGTTATGCAAATGCAGATCGGAGTTTATTCGTTTCTTCGTTCTCTTTCCATCGAAAATATGTAAATGTTGAGGATTTTACCTAGTTCAAAGTTGTCGTTATGTTTCTCCATATTTTGCACTTGGTGCTCACAGACAGAAAATAGATATGTACACGATGGAAAATGTGAAATGATGTTGCTCACGCTTGAAAATATGGCTGAACGAACATTTGCGGACCGAAGCTAAAAATGGTTGTTGTCATTTTTTTGTCTTTTTTTCACAGTGGCCACTTATCTAAAAGCTCGGCATTTTTCTCTCTTTCTCTCTCTCTCTCTCTCTCTCTCTCTTTCTCTCTCTCCCTAGCTTTGGTTTGGTTTGGTTTAGTCGGCTGGTATTTTGATATCGGATTCAAAAGTGGTACGCAAAAAAAAATCCGACTCCCTCAAAATGCGAATCGTAAGCACTTGCACGTTGACAACCGAATGACAAATACATTAGAGATTTGGATTGAGCTAGATCCCCTGACTAATTTTCAAAATGAAATAGCCCATTTAACTTCTTTTTTCTTCGTTGTATTTTTAATCCTCTTCAAATCAACTACAAATATCGATGTGTTTCAAGTGCTCCCAAATCGTGAATCGCAAAACGGCTAATTCGTTTATCGAAGAGTCACGCAACAGTAAAAATCATGGGAAACGGCACACGGTGTCTCCAAAACGAAGAAGAAGAAGAAGAAGGTACAAGTGATACGCACAGCACACACACACACACACACACGCACAAACCACCATCACAAACGGAAAAACAACAAAAATAAAACAAACGAATAAAAAGTGAAATGAATAATGATGATGCTTCATCATTCCTGAATAATGTATGTCTGCAAGAGATGCTACCGTCTTTGTCATTATTCAGAGCCCTCGATGTTGTCGGGCCATCGGAATCAATGAAGAGCAATATTATGAGCACTTCTTTTTTCTAACGAGCATTGTAATCGAATCAAAATTTCCTACCAAAGAATAATAGACGTGGAGAAAAAAAACGGTGACATAAACACGAGCCCCTCAGCAGCATAGCAATAGCAAAAAGAAGAGAGAGCGAGAGAATTACATCAAGAGAGCAAAATATAACGAAAGCGAAAATAGGAAGTCATAGAAAAGTGTTCACTTGATTGGTTCTTCTCCGTCAATCGGATGGGAAGAAAAGCGAAACGTATTAGGAACACAAAACAGTGGGAAAGAATCAGGGAAACAAAGTAAAAAGAGCGATACATTTCACTAAATTGAAATTCATGCCACAATGTCAACGAAAAAAAAAAGAATCTTCATTGAAAACATGACTTAATAGTTATAGTGATTTATTTTCATCACATTCAGTATTAAGAGATGAACGAAGGATAATAAATTTAAACCCTCACATTCGGCGTTTATACAGCATCATGTCAGCTCACGGTGGGATATTTTCATGTTTAACGTTCATCTCCATTAAATTGATGAACTTTAACACGTTGTTAAACTTATAAGTAAGCTGTCAAGCAGTTTATGTTCGTCGATAACATGCCGAACGGAATCATTCAAAAACGCGTCGTCTTCTTCCAGTAAATTGCAATTTTCATCTTTTTTGCACATTTATGTCACCATTTTATAGGTTTTTTCGTTCAATTTATGTTTATTCTTTCTGAAGAAAATTTCCCATTTTCAACCACTTTCGCTTAAGAATTCTTTGGGAAATTATCAACAGAGAGAATACATTGCGTTTTGGTTTATTTTAAATATTGAACGTGATAAATTATGAAATTAATTACGTGTTGTGTTGTGCTTTGATAATTCATCAGAAAAGTGTTCGGCCGTAGGTAAAAAAAACGCTCGGCTACATTGTGTGGAGTGGGAAATATACTATCAGTGATTTTAGGGGGAAAGAACGACACAAATATAATTCAAAGATAACATGGAAATATTGCCAATGCCTAACAAAACGTGCAAATGCGTGCAAATACCACAAACGAATGCTAGAAGATGTATGCGTATTTGCCATTCTTATTCGTGCTCAGCGAGTACTGCTCACTACGGACAAGGCGAAGCAACATGAAAAAACAACAACAATAACACAGACGAGCGCTATGCAAATGCTTGCAAATGGACGTGAGTACGGCAAATATGTCAAGTCGTTTTTTCCCCCTAGCGGTGATTCGTCTCAACTGTTGAGTTCATGGTGCTAAAATCTAACCAGAATATGAATGATGTTTAAACGCAACGCAACCCAACCAGCCTATGGAACGTTTTTCTTTTTCATTCTGTGTATTTTATCAGTTTTATGAGGGATGATTAATTTAAAAAAAAAAACGTAGTTCCATAGCCGTTGGTGCATTTCAATTTTGCTCTGTCGTCGTCGAACATTTTAGGTCATCAAACATCACCTGGACGATGATAAAAATTTGGAAGACGTTTTAATAAATTTTCACAATAGTTAATGCGAAAAACACTTTTGAACTTCGTACCCAGAGATAATACAGCGTCAAAGCGTCACTCAAAATGATATCAGTTATTTTGAGTGGTAAATCCATGCACAGGAGCGTCACTCCATTTTAACCTCGTCTAGAGGTTTTTCATCTGATTTTATATTGGGTTATTTTGCGTTTGTACTCCGTTGCCAGATACTTTATCATCGCATTGTTTTGGATGCCCTTCAAAAACTTTGTCCATTCGAAAGAGTTGTTTATGGCAAGTGTAAATTAACACAAAAACCTCATTTCCCATATTTCAATTGCATGTAGCAGATTGAATAACATTTGCAGAGAAATTGCAAATATGCTGCAATATATTCCGGTGTTACAATATGTATGTTTAATAACATTGTTTATGTCTGGCCATCTTAATTCTAACCGTTGAAATATCGTAATGCAACAGTGGAAAAATGTGTGTTGAGTGCTGTGTGTGAGGTAGCCGAAAGAGAGAATGCGAATGAAGGAAGAGGTTTGAAACAAAAAAGTTTCAAGAAACATTCTCGCTCGAGTCTGTTAGAATTTACGAAGTAATTTAGGTCTAGTTTGTTATTGTATAACAAACTATAATTTAGGCGTTACATGAAATGTACAACATTACAATGATTGGATGGAATAGATAGATAGCATAAACAGTACAATAAAGTTCAGGTCACCAAAAATCAACTAAACTTCTGTATTAAATTCAATGCTACTCAATTAAAAAAACTACGCTACAAATATACAGCACACAGTAAAAAATAAAAGTCCACATCTAGCCGTTTTTTCAGCTAAAAACGCATTCAGCCGATATTGCTGCTAGTAATTTAAGCTGCAGGCGAAATTCCGCTTATAATCTAGTCGGTTTTTCGTCTGAAACTCAATTTACTAGGCAAAATATAAGACTGGACGCCTCTACCGGTCGAAAATCCGCCTAAGTGTGGACTTTTATTTTTTACTGTGCATGTATATTTGTAGCGTAGTTTTTTTATTGAGGACCACACTAACCAATACACTTCTGACTACATCATAATGTATGGAAATGAAAATTTTTATGTATCGTATTGGTAATAACGTTTTAATCAAAATTTGTCGTAAGTCACAGATAATAATTAAACATAAAAAATAGAATCTGTTTTGGAATTTAAAAATCCAAAGTTTTGAACCCCGAGGAAGAAGAAAAAACGAAGTTAGTACAATGTACGTTTCATGTAACGGTAAAAAGAGAAACCTGAGTGAAAGTTTTCGTGCGAATGGAATGCGTAGGTTATGTGCCTATTTATTTATGTACAATAGGCAATAAACGCAATTCTTGTCGCCGGCAACATTCGTATCTGTATTTATGCCAAACGGAATTAATAGCGTAATTAAATTAGATTGAAGTTCTTGTGCACCTCGTAGGCTTCGAAAGCAAATCTATTTGATGTCAATAATGATAATAATGATGATGATGATGGTGAGATCGATTGGAATGATACTTATTCGAGTGGCATCTACATATATCAGGCCCAGCACGACAAAAAGACTTTGTTTACAACCATCGGATTGGGGTACATGAATGTTTTCTTTTTGTTGTATGTTAACCACAACCATAGTGATACTGTGTGTGGATTCCAACTGCACATCATTTGTCAAACGACAAAAATGTAATATGTAAATGCAGGAGAACAATGTATCAATCAAGATTCTATCTAACAAATATGCTGCTGATAAACACCTTCAGCCCTAAACATAAAATGTCACCATTTGATTTCAATTCGACATGTTAAGATTCAAAGCATACCGAATTATAGCTTCAATTATTCAATGCACGTAGATTAATATCAGTCAAGTTTTGTCAAAGTTCTTAAATAAACAAATAAACACACGGGAGAAACGTGCACTGCTCTGGTCCGAATAAATTATCATTTATGTTAGTTCATTAACAGTGTTTTTTTTAAGATACGTATCTATCATTTGATATTAGATATAGATATTCGATTATTATACGATTCCAGAAGATAAATCGGTAAAAATCTATATCTTATCTATTTTTTCTTCTTTCGAATATCTATTGAGTAGATATAGATATTATTATAGATATAGAAAAAACAGTTCTTTTTTGTTATATTTTATATCTGAATTGTATCTTTAAAAAATAGATAGATATGTGAATAGATACTATCTACATATTTTATTTAGATATTTATCTATATCTAATCTAGATGGGGTTTAAAAAATCCAACGTTATCTGTATCTTATCTAGATACAAAATTCGTATCTAAAAAAACACTGTTCATTAATTAAGAGGGAAATTTCGAAACGAATGCACGATCTTCTCGAAGTAAAGAGAATGAGTGAGCGCGCACAGGAGAGATAGAGAGAGAGAGAGAGAGCACGAGAGACCGAGAAAGACGGCGAGAGAGAAGTTCCAGTTCGACAAACATTTGCCTTCTTTACACGCTGATGAAATGCGCAAGAGGCGTATTGCAAACAAATAAAGTTCTGACAAACGAATGGAGATGGGACAGGAAAATATCGCATTGCATCAGAAATTCTCATTTAAATCTTAGAAAAATAACAACTTCATCTGCTTTTCGACGTCGTGACTGTTTACTGTTGCTGACCTGCAAAAGAATGAAAGGAAAAATAACTATCCGCAAAAATGGCAAACTTCATTTCAGCTTGACAAAGTGCTTAAGTTTGAAAGAGCACTTTTCATTACACGCGCAATGCACACACAAAAAAGAAATCAACGCTCATTCTGTGCTCCGTCTTTTTTATCTTTTGTCTTCTCGTCGCCCCCTCTCTCTCTCTCTCTCTCCCTCATACAATTTTCATCAAGAGATAACACCTCTCTTTTGCTGGAAGCAGGAAGTTACCGTTTTGAATGCCACGCAACGAATACCGAATTGAATTTCACACAGTTGAAGAGCGTGAACAAAATTTCAAATATGAAACAATAACAGGGCAAAAACGTGTCGTTGCGATTGCTATCTCTCGCTCGCCCGCTCACTTTTCTTGAGCATGGAAACAAAACACTTTGCTGAGCAGTCGGCAACAGCATCAAGGGGCGAATTACTACTGAAAACCGGTTTTCAGTACTTTTCAGTACCTGCGATCGATTTTCAGTAGCGGTTCAGTTTTTCAGTTCAGTACCTAGTAAATATATGACTTTTATTGCAGTTCAGTATTGTTAAAAATTCTTGACACTTGTGTTTAATGTTTGTTTTCTAGCATTTCAAATGGAAATTGAACGTATTTTATCACAAATAAAGTCCACTTATATTTTAATTAGAAAAGCCTAAAGACACAATAAAGAAGCTAACATCAGAAAAGAGTGATTTATGTCGAAAATATATGTCTGGCAATTTTCGTCGAATGAAAATTTCAATGACATTGATGTGTGTGTATCATCAACTCTTTGAAATGTCAGTGCATCTCTGAAACCTCGAAGACTAAAACCAAACAAAACAAGAATGGATTTTTTACACAAATGTTTCTCGGCGTATTTTTATTTCCAAACTACTGAATACCGTATTTTTATAGTTTGGCACTTTTGTAGACAAATCTTTTTCAATTTTTTCCAAAATTCACCTCAATATCAATTTTTAAACTGTATGGCGTTAATGATATAAATCAAGTGTCATAGTCTAGATGTATTCAATGCATAAACTGACACTGAAGTACTGAAAACCGGTTTTCAGTATTTTTCAGTATCAAGAAAAAATTTCTGTTCTTTTCAGTACTTTCAGTCAATTCAAGTAGTGATTCGCCCCTTGAACAGCGTAGCCAATTCCATTCTTTGTGATGGTGCGAGTGGGTCGCTATGGATTTTTTTGTGATTATTATTCATTCCTGATTCCTGCTGGCATAACTATTGTTCCATTAAATTGTTCTCACGAGACCAAAGAACGTTCAATTTTTAATATTTTTTTTTCCTTCTTTTCTCGACTTCTTTTAAATCAAGAGCCGTTCAAATGAACATATTTAATCAATTAAAATATACCCAAAAGAATTTTTGATTCAACTTGAACTTTTTTTTACCACGGTGAAAAGTAAATTGATGTTTTTAATTATGCTGTTGTTGAACTGACCAATTGCCTGGAAATACATACAAATGAACCGTTGTTTTAAATAGTCGGAGGCTGTTTCGTTTCATTCGGTTTAAGATTAAAGTTCAATCATTTTCTATTTCATGAATTACGGAAAACGAAGAGGAGGAATAAGTAATAGCAACTTACAACTCATGTGACAAAGTGTTAAGAACCCTTTTGTTGGTGACTGTTCAATGCCATTTCAAAAGCAATTCCGCAAATAAAACCAGCTGAACCATTACCACATATGCAATGCGTGTGATACTGATGGCCACAAAATGCGGACCAAATTCACTAAACCGAGCCATATCAAAAAGTTATGTTGAATTCATGGAACAATTTAACTTTTAACTCAATGAGGTAATAATCTCTTGGAAAAACGTTGACATTTGACGATAATGGAAAGCAATGAATAATTTAAAGAGAGTGAGACAGGAACAGAGAACGAGAGGCTAAGTCGAAAGGAAACCAAATTTTTCACGACCCAAACACACTCAATGGAGGACTGTTTAACTGAATCGGTAGTGAGCTTTTCATCAGCTTCCTTTTTAGACACATGTACAATAAAGACGTAACAAGGATTGCT